AGGGAGGTCTCTCTGGTGTCTCTTTTCATAAGGACACTAATCCTATTGGTTCAGGACCCCGTCCTTATGACCTTAATTACTTACTTAATTAATTTAACCTTAATTACTTCCTACTCCAAATACAGCTGCACTGGGGGTTAGGGCTTCAACATATGAATTTTGGCAGGGAACGGGGGCGTGGGGGCCATGAACATTAAATCCATAACAGAAAGATTATTTTGGCATAGCTCTGTGTTGTACAGAGTAGCATGTATGGTAAGTCCCATCTGAGCAGAAGGGGAGAAAAGGTAGAGATTATGAGAGCCATCTAGGGAGAGAAAGAGAGTGCATTTGCTTCTAGAAGCAAGCACAACTCAACTGGTTGTAATGGGTTGTTTGGAGGAAAGGAACTGGGCATTGGGGTGGGAGGAAGGAACTCTTTCCTTATCATGTGGAGGTTATTTTATATACATAAGAAAATAGAGGACACAATAAACCAACTAGATCTAACAGACGTATACAGAATATTCTACCCAATGACAACAGCATACACATTCTTTTCAACTACACATGGGATGTTTTCCAGGATAGCCACATGTTATGCCATAAAGCAAGTCTCAAGGAACCTTTCAATAGATTTAAGATGGATATCATACAAAGTATCTTCTCTGACTACAGTGAGACAAAGTTAGAAATCAATAACAGAAGTGAAATTGGGAAATTCACCAATTGGTGGAAATTAAACAATATGCTCTTAAATAACCAATGAATCAAAGCAGAAATCAAGGGAAAATTATAAAATATTTATAGATCAGTGAAAATGAAATCACAACATTCAAAACTTACGGGATGCAGCAGAAGAAGTGCTAATGGAGAGACTCGTAGCTAGAAATGCTCACAAAGATCTCAACCAGTAACCCAACTTTACAACTTAAGGAACTAGAAAAATAAGAACAAACTAAACCCAAAGGTAGCAAAAGCAAGGAAATAGTAAAGGTTAGAGCAGAGAACAATGACACAATGACTAGAAAACAATAGAGAAAAATCAATGAAACCAAAAGTTAGTTCTTTGAAAAGATCAACGAAATTGACAAACCTTTAGCTAGATGAACTAAGGAAAAAAGAAAGAAGACTCCAATTACTAAAATCATATATGAAAGTGGGAATATTATTACTGATTCTATAGAAATAAAAAGGATTATAAGAGAATACTATGAACCATTGCACACCAACAAGTTGGATAACTCAGATGAAACCGACCAATTCCTAGAAACAAAACCTACCAAGACTAAATTATAAAGAAATAGAAAATCTGCATAGACCTATAACTAGTAAGGAGATCGTATTAGTAATCAAAAATCTCCCAACAAAGGAAAGCCCTGGACTTGATGGCTTCATTGGTGAATTCCACCAATTTATCAAAGTAGCAGGATACAAAGCCAACACAAAAAATCAATTGAATTTCTATACATTAACAATGAACAATCTGAAAATAAAATTACAAAAACAATTCCATTTATAATAGTATTGAAAAAAATAAAATAATTAGCAAGGAGGGTGAAAGACTTATACAATGAAAACTATAAAACATTACTGGAGGAATTTAAAGAAAACATAAATAAATGGAAACACACTCCATGCTCATGGGCTGGAAGACTTAATATTGTTCAGATGTCAGTGCTACCCAAAGCAATCTTAAGATTCAATTAGGGGCCGGCCCGGTGGCGCACTGGATAAGTGCGCCGCTTGGGAAGCGCTGCGGCGCTCCCGCCCGAGGGTTCGGATCCCACATACAGACCGGTTCCCGCTCACTGGCTGAGCGAGGCGCGGGAGCAACAC